CTAACGGCAGGGCCGGTCGGACCCCAATTTCATCTCACGTGGCGAAATGTGTCCTGTGGTGTGTCAGTGGGCGAGGTCGGCTTTCAGTTGTTGGGTCTCGCCCGTCAAAGCTTTTTGTCAAATACAGGAGGGTCAGAAACCGCAACAATGCAAGTTACCAGAATCAACACCGAGGACTCATCATACGACGCAGGCAGCACCACGTCAGCAGCGGACCAGTACGACACAACAATGGCGACAGCTACTGGACTGGTTGCCACTGACGTGGGGTATGCGTACATAGGGCGCTTTCCGGAGTCGACACGCGAGCTTGACTCGCGCGAGTAGGAGGCCTGGGAGGATAAGCTAGCGAAGTGCCGCCTCCCACCGTTCACGGCCGTCACCGAAGAGGAATTTGAGCAGTGGGCGGATGACGTGGCGACGGCCGTCGGCGAGCAGTGCCACTACATCCACGACGAAACGCCAGTGGCTAGACTGTGGGCCTGGATGCCAGCCACCATCAGAGCGCGTTTGAATGGGTGTAGGAGAGGCCCCGGGGTGGCGGTACAGAGGTTTCTGTCGGGCGTAGCTAGGTCCCTGTACCCGGACAGCACTCTGCTGAGCCGGTGCTTCAGGTCCTGCGTCTACCCACCGCCGGAAGAGGTGCCGGCCCTCCACGATTTGTTGCCGACACGGCTGCAGGTCCTTTACGGCACAAGGATCACGATTCCGGGGATGCTGTTGCAACAGTCCATTCTGATCGCGGCGGCAGACAACAGGTGGGCGAAAGAGTTCCACTTCGAGTGCAGGAAGGGCGATGGGACAGTGATAGAGGTCCTCCATAAGCTCGCACCGCTCTCGGAGAGAGCGAGACCGGTCTTCGCTGCGATGAAGTGGCCCGTGAGAGAGCAAGATTCGGACACGTCGGGTGACGGAGCGCGGTTGAACAAGTGTGGTAGCTGTGGCATGAGGAGCCACCGCGAGAAAGACCGCCCCCACGGCAAGGACAGGTGCGCTAACTGCGGCCGGAAAGGTCACTGGGCGAGGATGTGCCCGAGGCACTACCTCACAGATGAGGACTCAGGACTGAAGGCGTTCGCGGAGGTAGGAGAAGGCAAAGCAGTGCTGAATGTCCGTGGAGCTAGAACCAGGACCGACTACCTGAAGGCGGTGCAGAAGTTCGTAGACAAGGAGCTGAGCGCCGACAAGAAAAAGAAGGACCAGCCGGCACCGGGAGAGGACGTCGGCATGCCAGTGGCCGCGGTCGAGAAGGTAGTGCACAGTGAGGGTCCAGGGGGCGCGAAATGTTGTCATGAGCTGACAGAGGACATGACGCTGGGGCCACGAGTCGCGGGAACCGTAACTGGAGGGTCGAGTAACGGCCGAAATTTTCGGTAAGGGCCCTCGTGAAGGGGACCGCGATTGAGTTCCAGCAGGATACGGGCGCAGAGGTAAGCCTGCTGAGGAGAGAGGATTGCAGTCGCGCTGGCGTAAGAATGTCGCAGCGCCGACAGCAAGTAAGCACAGTGTTGGGTTCAGGATCACTACCCGTGACGGAGCCAGTACCGGTAACAGTGCGCGGCGAGACGGACGAAGTAGAATTCGCGGCGCATGACCGACCATCGGTCCCGAGCCTCCTGGGGAGGGTAGAGTTGGAACGATTTGGTTTGGTTGAGAGAAGGTCCGGGAAGGCGTTGGTCCTGGCGGCGCAGAGAGGC